AGAGGGCAGTGTCACTGGCCCTCATATGTGGGATCCGAACTGGGGCCCTCTGGCGTCCCAAGCCAGTTCCCAACCAATGTGCCACTCGGCCGGCCCTACATTTAGTATTTTTGAGTTAATTCTATCAATTTCACACAAATACTCAAGTTGTTTGATAAAAATGCTACCCTTCACAGGAAAAATGTTTTTAAACAATGTATTTTAGTATTCATTTTATCCTACCCTCTCTTATTCCCAAATTTGGCAGACCTCAAAATAATTTTTAAATAGCCTTTTAAACTCACTTAACTGAGCAATTTTATAGCAACGAATGAACCAAAATGGAAGCAATAATTTTTTTTAAAAACCCTCTCTTCTCTTTCCTTTGTCTACAATGAGTACTGCATTGAGTTCAAAAGAAAATAAGCTTGCTTTCTAGTTGCATTTTTCATCCCAAATATTAATGCCAAGTTGTGGACCTGGATAGCCTACATCAGAATAAACTGAATTATTAAAATACAGATTCTAAGGCCCAAGCCCAGACCTAAAAGGGACTCCTCGGAGGGAGGGCCCAAGACTTATTTTAATAAGCACACCAGGGGATTCCTGGTGCAATTAAGAGCCATAAAACTTTATTTTGGTCTACAAATTCATGTCTTTTTTTTTAAAGATTTTATTGGGGAATCGGGGAAGGGAACAGACAAGTTGCTGTCCTTTTGTTCTTCAGTCTAGTTGTGGAGGACGTCGCTTCACTGGCCCATGTTGATATTATCATTGCTCTCTTCCCGGGTGAGGCAGTCGCTCACCAGCCATTGGACGGCCACACATGGCAGCTCACGAAAGCTCATGCCAGCTGCCAGCCAGCTCCACTGCAGCCTACGCCGTCGCCTCACAGAAGCCCAGCTCCAGATCGAGCTGTTTTTCACCATCTTAGCTGTAGAGGGTGCAGCGTCACTGGCTCTCTGTGTGGGATCCGAACTGGGGCCCTGCTGCTCAGAGCTAGATCCCAAGCCAACTCCTAACCAACGCACCACTTGGCCAGCCCATGCATGTCTTTTTAACATGGTTATGAACATCTGAATAAAACACTGAACATTAAACTCTACAAGATACTTTAATTACTGAGCAAAATGAGGGGTAAGTGAATTGGGCCTAGGTTTCAGTTTTATTATGAGATTACCAAATTAACAAACTGGAAAAACCACCTCCTCTTTCCAAAAAAACTGATGAGAAGCTCTTGATCAATGAAAAAAACTGTGGGGGAAAATCATGGTGGGAAATTTGGGCACAGATTGTGAGTAAACAGAAAGTTCTTGAAATTTTATTTAACTGTCAGCAGCCGTAGTTAATATTTCTTTGGTCTCACCCATTTTAAGACCAGCACCTGATGCCTTAGAACAGCGGTTCTCAACCTTCCAAATGCCGTGACCCCTTAATACAGTTCCTCATGTTGTGGTGACCCCCAACCATAAAATTATTTTCGTTGCTACTCTATAATTGTAGTTTTGCTACTGTTATGAATCGTAATGTAAATATCTTTTTGTTTTCCGATGGTCTTAGGCGACCCCTGTGAAAGGGTCGTTCAACCCCCAAAGGGGTCGCGACCCACAGGTTGAGAACTGCTGCCTTAGAAGTTAGCTTTGGGGGCCGGCCGAGTGGCACGTTGGTTAAGAGTTGGCTTGGGAGCGCCAGCTCTGAGCAGCAGGGCCCCGGTTCAGATCCCACATGAGGGCCAGTGACACTGCGCCCTCTACAGCTAAGATGGTGAACAAATGCTCGACCTGGAGGTGGGCTGCTGTTGAGTCGCCTGCAATGGCGTAATCTGCAGTGGGGCTGCAGTGGGCTGCCATGAGCTACCATGAGCGGCTGGCAGCCAGTGTGAGCTGCCAAGAGTGGCTGTCCAAAAGCCGGCGACAGATCTGCCTCACTCAGGAAGAGCGCAATGATAATACCAACATGAGCCAGTGAAGCAACGTCCTCCACAACTAGACTGAAGAACAAAAGGACAGCAACTTGTCTGTTCCCCTTCCCCAACACTGTCCCCCTCCCTAATTCCCCAATAAAATCTTAAAAAAAAAAAAAGTTACCTTTGGATTACTACTTAAATATTCATGTCTAGTTCAAGATTTTTGGCTGCAAAGCTAAAATTGCCAATACAGACATATTTAATTTTTTAAACAAAATCATATCTAATGAGAAAAATGAAAAAAAAAAAAACTTCTCCTTTTTATAGTTTTATAAAGCACAATGAATATACTGCATACCTTTGATTTTCTCTTTTGTTTAGTTCAATTTGGACAAATCATTGTAAAACAATGAACGCTCTCCAAACTTTAACAAGCACCATGATCACCTAAGAGATCTTGTTAAAAAGCAGATTCTGATTCAATAGGTGGGGTGAGACCTGAAATTCTGTATTTCCAACAAGCTCTCAACTGAAGGCTATCTGGTGAGGAAACCACACTGAGAAGCTATGAGTTAGGGGATAGATGTGAGACACCTGTAACTGGGCAGATGCCATTTTTTCTTTCAGCTAGGATTTACTACTCAACTCAAAAGAATTATTTAGCTTTCATATACTAAGAGCTGCAGAGGGCACACACACAATCTAAATCGATGGTCAGTTAAGCAAGTTTTTAAAGATAACATAAGTACTAAGATTAGCGCTGGCTTTCCCCTTACTAGCAACTAACTCTTTTAAAAGTTGGTTAAGCGCTGGACCACCTTCGATCTTCCGTTTCCTCAAATAATCCTGAGTGGTTGTCCTGATCAAGTAAGAACTTAAGATGATATAATAGAGCACCTACAATTACCAAACGAGACCAATACTTGATCCTGTGGGGACGTCTATTCCTCCAGGTGTTGGGGTATGCTCTGCACCGCCCTAGCTATCAGTACGCTACCTCGAAAGCAGTTGCTAACAGCACGAATGCCCCCAATAACGGTTCTTAAAATACAGAGATGTGCCACTGGTCGCTCCTGAATGAAGCCAAACACAACCACGTCCTTCTGCTCTTACTGTAGACATGCAGGTGCACAAAACTAATAGAAAGTTACCAGAAAACAACTTGGAGAGATGAAGAAGTGAAGTGACATCCATGCTGAGGTTCTTAAAAATCGAACGTGCAGGGGACGGTCAGGAAGTGAATAAAGCTAACATTTTCACAGAACACACGGGAGCAGGGAGCTTTAAAGAGCTCAGTGGGACGCGCTGCTGGGTCCTGATAAGGAGCAAGGCAGAGCGCCGCCACCCAGGCCGACCTGGTGCAGGGTCCGCTCTCCGCGGCCTTCCCGGCTGCACCGCTTTGTCTGCCGCCCCTGGGCCATACATACCGCTCCAGAGCTTTAGGCGTCCAGAGCCTGCCGCATCATCAGGGCCACACCAACGGGTGAGGTACAGGGACCCGAAGGGGCGGAGCGGGCTCCTCCACGCACAGCCGCGGCCTCGGAGACAGCAAACGACCAGACTTTAGTACTCAAAGAGCGAGGGCGCCAGCGGAAAAGGCTCTACATACTCTCCCCCATGACCCTGACACCTCCGCCAATTCTGCCTTCTCATTGGCTGACACCGATGATAAGACACCCAATCCGCGATGGCTTTCTTACACTAAAGCGTTCATTGGTGACCTAGTGAAATGCACTAAGCATTAAATGGAAGGATCCAATGAGAACCCAGGAATACTGACTTGGACCAAACGACTCTCCGTCCACTAAGAACTACGCAAAGAAACTTGATTCCAGCTGAGAAATCGTTGCACTTTCCCGACTACAATACCCAGCGTTCCAGCGCTGGGTGAGCTTCTTTCCTGCTGCGTTCCGGAATTCAAATTGAACGTGTCTTCCTCCAGCAACTGTTTCAGTTAGTCATTCGCTTCTGAATCTTAATTCATAATATTTAAAAATATTTTTGGTTTTTTCTAAGAACATTAGTACAATATTAGGCATTTCTTGGATTTTGTGTATTTCTTGCTGATGTCCACTGTCTCTTCGTAGCACAGCGAAGTCCACAAAGCACAGTTTTGTTTTGTTTTTTAAATAGTAAATTCTACGTTGGAACGATTTTTTTATTTTTTTCTTGTAAGGGAAAGGAACTTATCAAAGAGAGTTTCTCAAATTCGTCATGAAATAGTTTTTAAATATTGTCTTCTATTTATCAAAGTAAGGATTTATATACTTGTTTTATTGATGGCAGTCACTGAAATTTTTTTTAGATACAGATTTTTTTTAAATATCTAAAAAGTGATCTAAATTCCACAAGCCAGTGTGAACATAATACATCCACTGCACTCAATAACCTCACTGAATAGGTTTTGTATTCTCTTAACAGTTTGATTCTGCTGTGTAGCTTATATATTAATTAAAGTCGGAAGGAATTTGAAAGCCCTCTAATGGAGAAAGGACTTGGGTGAGAATATATATCCCAGACTGTGTTCTATGCTAATGTCACCAATACTTTGGATTCGTCTGTAAGTAAATTTTTAAATCCAACGTTTACTTTTGCTCAAAATTCCTTGACTTCCTTATTCTTGGTTATCCTCTTCCTTTTAAGAAGCTCAAGAAGTAAACAGGAGCCAAATAACAGTAGAAAAGGTCTCTCTCACACCATATGACCTTTAGCAAAAACAAGTCTGGCAGGGTTTCTATTTTCCCAAAGTCATAGGAGGGAGTGATGGTTAAGTGAACACTGAGTCTGAAATACAAAGAAAAAAGAGATGGTAGGTCCAGTGGTAGAAACACCAGCCTCATTTGTAACAATCAACCAGACTAATCAACTGCTGAAACTGAAAAAAAAGGAAAACAAAATTGAAAATGTAGAAAGCTGTAAAACAAGTAAATACAAGAAGTCCAAAGGGCACAGTCAGGTTAAACCATAACCCATGTAATTGAGTAAATGAAATCTCATTCAGTATTGTTATTAAAAACTCTTTAACTCAGAAAAGTAAACTTGCCATTTTTGCTAAGGTTGATTTGTACATTAGAAAGAGAAAAGACACTTGGAATTTTTCCAGCAAGTAATTGATGATTAGGTTTGTGGCATTGTCCAGAATAGATGTTCAATAGAGTATTTGTCTTTCAGTTCACAATCTAAAATTAAATATAATCACGCTTCTGACATTATAGAGACTTTCTTCCTAGCAAACAGAGTAAATGGCATTAAAAAGTAGGGGATCTAGTCACAAAAGATAATTACCAGGTTTCATAAGCACCTATGTATTACAAGCCATGGGGAAGTCTTTAAGGTTTTCAGAATATATATTCTCATATTAAAAATGTATGAACTTGAGACCTGTGAAATTATACTAATGTGAGTCATATTATGAGTCATCACTTGTTCTTAGCCTTAGATTATCTTGCCATGTAACACAGCTGGAATGTCAAGTTTCTCAATGGCTGTGTTGCTTAAGACACATGAATTAGATAATGACAGTTTCATTCATTCAATTATTCAACAACCATTTTTGGAACATATACAATGTCCAGACACATCTTAGCAATGGATTTAAAGATAAGGAAAAACATAATTACTGCCCTCCAGGAGCTCATGGTCTACAGCAGTCGTTTCAAAAACTTTTTGATGAAGCTCTGCTTTCAGCCTAAAAAATTTTTTGAGCATATAGCTCTAGTATATGTACTTATTCATCCATAATTTCTATACATATCAAACTAATATTTAAAAACATGTCAAAATACAAATTTTTAAAGGATGAGAAATAATTATAAATAGAAGCCCTGTCTATCCATCTGGATGAAAATAAAATTGTACCCATAGACTCATCATTTATCAATCAGTAAATAAGTAAATAGATAAGTAAATAACAGATGGATTAAAAATTCAAGTGTAAAATATATAAAAAAATTCTTTCAGAAAATCTTAAAGACTATATATAACAATATAGCAGGGAGAACTTAAACAAGACTAGGAACCCAGGCGTTAAAAAAGAACAAGATTTGGGCTGGCCGAGTGGCTCAGTTGGTTAAGAGCTTGCTCAAGAGTTTGAGCTCTGAGCAATAGCGTTTCGATTCCTGGCCTGAACTGAGCAGCCGCTGAGCTGCCAACCGGTGGCAGAATGGCTCAGCAAAAAAAAAAAAAAAGTGAAAAAAGAACAAAATTTGCATACTTGTTTTAAAGGCATTTTTTTGTATGGTAAAAAGATAAGCAATGCCAACAGAAAATAGTTTTGAGGTAAATTTGCAACTCAATGGGCAGACAAGATGAGGAAAAGAGTCAAGAATAAAATGGAGTCACTAGGGCCGGGCGAGTGGCGCATTGGTTAAGAGTTGGCTTGGGACGCCAGCTCTGAGCAGCAGGGCCCCGGTTCAGATCCCAGGTGAGCACCAGTGATGCTGCACCCTCTACAGGTAAGATGCTGAACAACAGCTCAACCTGGAGCTGGGCTGCCGTGAGTCGCCGGTGATGGCATAGGCTGCAGCCCCTGCTGCAGCGGGCTGCCATGAGCTACCGTGAGTGGCTGGCAGCCAGTGAGAGCGGCACCGTGAGCTGCCGTGAGCAGCCATCCAAAGGCGAGCAAGCAACTGCGTCACCCAGGAAGAGCGCAATGATAATACCAACATGGGACAGTGAAGCGACGTCCTCCACAACTAGACTAAAGAACAAAAGGACAGCAACTTGTCTGTTCCCCTTTCCCGATTCCCCAACGCTGTTCCCCTCCTCCAATTCCCCTAGAAAATCTAAAAAAACAAACAAACAAAAAAACCCCACAAAAGGTGGAAGAGGGTGTTATATAGTTTAAAATCGATTTCAGAGACATACATCAAATGTAATGTGTGGCTCTCTTTAAGATTCTGATTCAAAGAAACCAACTCTAAAAAAATAAAAAAATAAATGAGACACCCATGAAAATTTGAACACAGAATTGATGATATTAAGAAATAATTATCAATAGTTTAAGCATTATAATTATGTTTTTTTTAAAAAAAAGACTCCTTAACTTTTAGTGATATACACTGAAATATTTATGGTTGAAATAACATGTCTGAGATTAGCGTCAAAAGAATCAAAGAGTTTGCTTTTTGAGGCCCTGGGGTTCATCCCCCAGCATCTCCAAAACAAACAAACAATCAAGAGGCCTAGAAAGGGTATGGATGAAACCCACAGCTATGAGCTACTGACAATTGAAGCTGTATGATGGATACATGAGGATTCATTGTATTTTCTTATTTTTGTATATGATTGACATTTTCCATAATCATAACTTTAAAAATAAAACATAATTTAAAACCATACAAAAGAGCTCTGCAGGTCACGGTCTATTCCAAGAGCGAGTTTATAGAAAGAAATGGCATAGTCTCTAGAAGGCAGTGATCCTTTCAGCTTTTTGGGTATACATCAGATCACTTTGTACATTGATCTGAGAAGAAAAAATAGTTTCAAGGCTCAGAACAATCAAATACACCCAATAGTGTATGACTAAATAAAAATAGTTCAACAGTTCTTCATTGGGCACCATGGTAAAATATTCGTTTGCACCAAGATTTACATGATTGAAGTGGACTTGAATGTTATTCTCTCCCAGTAATATTTTCCTTTAATAGTGACCAGAGCTTGAAGCCAATGGGTCTGAACTATTAGGTATTTAGCTGCACATTTGAACTTTCACCTCATGTGAGATGATGTTGGCCCACCAATTAGCATTCACCTGCTGTCCTGTAGCTGAACCTCTCCCAGACACGTACAGTGCCACTTTGTCTTAAAGTGCCCCTCACATGGGCACTTCACTGTTCTACCCAATGGTCTTTTACCAGCTAGGTTTTCCTGGATTCAGGACCACTTGAAGCCCATTGCAGTGTGTTGTATTTTCTATAGACAGGCAATCAGAGCTAGAAAAAAAAAGCAGAAGTAGAGAAAAAGGGTCTGGATGTCCAAGAAAGATATTGTGTAAGATTTGCAAGTTATTCAACCTATCTCACCAAATGGGATTGTCATTAAACCTAATTAATATGAGAAACAGGCTGATAGACACATGTGGACATTTGTCTGTCTTCTACTGGATCACACACACATAAGCTGACTGTATGTCCTTCATGGATATTATTTATTGGGCCCTTGTGAGAAGCCAGGCATCACTCTTAATATTTTCCGCTTAGTATTCTCAAAGGGCTACCCTTTGAGATGGTTCTTTTCCCTACTACGCATGTCAGGAAATTCAGAACCCAGGGAGGCTGACTGGCTTACCCAAGGTCACACGGCTGGTAAGTGGTAGAGGCATATTTTGCATGTGGGTCTGTCTAACTTGGAAGCCCACATGCTTTCTACAACAGAATTCAGTTTCACCATCTATCAACATGAACAAATGGGAATCTGACCTTTTGTTAAATCTCTCTGAGGAAGCTGTCCCACAATCAGTCTTGGTCACCTAATACACCTAATACACCAGCCTAATATACACTTAATAAGGGATACATCTCTTCCTTAAATAATGGCATTATAATCCTTTAATTTCCTGTTAGGAATTGGGAGGCATAGAAAGGTCAAGGGACTTTTTCAAGGTCGCAAAGTGAGTGAAAGCTCTGATTCTTTC